TAAAAAATAAATCATCCTATAACTATACTAGAAATGCAATTCAATAACAATCAATATAGGTAATTGTAGGTTGGGGGTAAGATAAAATGGGTAATGTAAGAAGGTACTATAATATAAGTAATTTATTCAATAGAAATGAAAATCATGGGAAGCATCGGATATCTATCTCATAAATCATAATGTGGAAGATCAAATAATTATAATTGGGGCATGGTGATATTTATCAAATTGATTGGCCAAAAGAGCCATCCAAAATTGCAAGCTTCAGTTTTCTTTTGAAGATATTCAGACTAGCTATTGATTTCAATTCTGCCGGCACTGCATTATATATATTTTAGCAATATCATACGTATAAGAAGATTGATACAAGGTTATAAAATTATGATATATAATATAATAGTATTAATGAACAGTGACGAGCTTCAACTAAAGTAAAAGTAAATGAAAAAGTATATGAACAAAAAATACAATAATAAAATAAATTTACATATATATAGGACGGAAATCAATGTTATTTATATATTTATTCTGAAAGTTTGGTGGATGTAGAATCGGTTTAATTATATATTGTTCTTTCTGTCAATTAGTAAAGGAACATATTTTCTCGGCTTATCTTGAATCCATAATTTCAAATTTTTCTTGAAGGATTGGTAAGAATATGAGTTTCTCAGTACATCAGGTGTCTCTGAGTAGAGTACAGGACATAAATAATTGACAAATCTCTGGCTTTTTCTTGTTGACACTTTTGGATTTGTGGTACTTTTATTTTTGTGATGAGTATCATGTTTATGTATGTTTTGGATGGAAGTGTGTTTGTATTTATGGTGATGTATGTATGTAATAAGCTGCCGGATATCTATAGTATTCCTGTTTCATGAAATAGGTTATCAGTTGGGTTCCTGAATGGTTTTTTATTGATTGTTTTCAAGATCCATTTTTCTGTGGTTCCTAGGGTTGTTAGGTCGTTGAAAGTCCTCTTTTTATTTTTGGTAGTAAAAGCAGCTGGGGAAGTTTGGCAGGCTAATTTCGGGACACCCTGTATATGTGCGTAATAATGGGGATAATGAACGGACAGCAATGAAGTAACATTTTTATACTAATTCCATCGATACCAATGATACCAATGATTCTAATACCTGATAATGTGAAGGCTGATTAAATATGAATGATATATTCTCTGATACTCGTCTTCAATTTGATATTCTGATGAAGGAGATAATTCAGCATTCCTATATATTTTGGTACTTTCTTATTTACTGTAGAAGAAGTAATTACATTATTATAAAATGGCAGCAGCAACAATGCTCATGATTTGCTCGAAACAAAAGATTTCCCCTTTTCATATTATTACCTATGAAACAGATGACACTTGAAACAAATTCGATTCGTACAAATGATAGTGTTTCTTCAACCTCTTAGACCTTCGAATTTTCCAACTATAGCACTATAGTACTCAAGTAATACTTTTTATTTATTATACTATGGTATCTGCATAACTATATCCATATACATATTGATTCGGTAACCCTCCTTGTTTTCAATGGGGAAATATAATTTGCTGACCAAAATCATTAAAGTATGCTGATCCAGCATTTCTGGCTCGAATCTTTTCTTCAAATTGCATATTTGAATATTCTATATATAGATGCCACCAGTAAAATAATTCCGATCCACCACTTCAGAGGGGTAGATTATTCTTGCAGTTTTTCAAAAATCATTTCTGATTCGAATTTTTTCTCCAAATTACATATTAGAATATCTTATATAGATTTATAGATGCCACCAGTGGAATTATCTTGATCCACCACTTTAGAGGGGTAGTTTATTCTTGCTGTTTTTCGAAAATCCTTGCTGACCGAGCATTTCTGGTCCGAATTTTTCCATCAAATCATCCCCTGAAGGGGTGGATCGAAATAATTCCACTGGTGGTTCCTATAAATATATATGAGATATGCAAATATGTAATTTGATGGAAAAATACGAACCAGAAATGCTCGGTCAGCAAGGATTTTTGAAAAACTGCAAGAATAAACTACAACTCTGAAAGGGTTGATCGAAATAGTTCCACTAGTGGCATGTATTATACAGGGTGTTTCAAAAAAACCTAACCCCCTTGCTAGGTTAGGTAGAACATTGCAAAATAAGTTGAGTTTGTTGTTGAGGTTAGATCTTTCAATCCAAATTTGATGTGAACTTAAACATCATTGAATTCCACACCAAAAAGGTACTCTTGGTAAAACTCGATACTGTGTTCTGTTTTCGGAATATTTCGATTTGAAAATGATGAAGTGGTAACTGTTGCTGGTATATATCTATGTATTATGAAAAATTATCTCCTTTTTATTGAGAACCGAAAACAACAAAACATTTCTGATGCAAAACTCATTGATTCAACAATGGATCACAAGAATAACATCGAAACAGATATGACTAAGAACATGGATTACACAGTTCTGTTGTATCTTGAGCAGATAGTCTATGATACATAGGGACATTCAAATCAAGAGTTGTGAGACATAATTGATCATCACTTAAATGACCTAACAGCTGATCCTCAACTGTTCAGAAGGATGATTCATTCTTGAAAAAAGAATATAGAATCGTGTATTCCTCGAAACGTAGGACATTTTGAACACTTATTCTAACTGATTCAATATTTCATGTTTCTAGTCAAATATCTCTTCATTTTCTACTTATGATTCTTTGTTCCATCAATAACTTCAGCACAAAAATAATTCCATTGTTTTTGAACCTGAATAAATAGGTAATTGAACTCAATAAAATTCATTTTTTACCAGCATCATTACTACTCCATTATTTTCAAATCGAAATATTCCGAAAACGGAACATAGTATCGAGTTTCACCAGGAGTACTTTTTTGGTGTAAAATTGGATGATGTTCAAGTTCATATCATATTTGGATTGAAAAATCTAACCTCAAAAAAGTAATGTTCAAAACTATTCGGTACGAACCGTATAGCTAGCGCCCTCTATGAGAGTCAGATATAAAAACAAATTAATGCGATGTGTCAGATTTCAAGAAACATCCATACAAAATTCCATCACAATGTTGCCAGTAGTTTCGGAATAATCGCGAAAAATGTGTAAAAAAAATATTTTTTCAACACCTTGTATCATGAAAACGGACACGGTTACGAAATTTTTTCACTGAGCAAACCCAACTTATTTTGCAATGTTCTACCTACCCTAGCAAGGGGGTTAGGTTTTTTTGAAACACCCTGTATATTATTATGTGCTATTCGAATATGTAATTTGATGGAAAAATATACGAACCAGTATTGCTCGGTCTGCAAGGATTTTTGAAAAACATCAAGAATAAACTACCCCTCTGAAGGGGTGGATCGAAAGAATTCACTAGTGGCATCTATATATCTATATGAGATTATCAATGAATGCCTCATCAGATGAGTATGTACTTATATGTTAATTAAATATCATAATATACTGTGTTCAATGAAACTATAGTTTTATTATCATTATCATCATGTTCGACCAATTTGGAAAAATACTTTGAGATTAAAAAGAAATGAATATTCAACAATAGGTTTTTTGATCTTGTCCGTGCATGAATATTATAGGTACCTTGAGAATTATTGGAAATGATGAATATTTTCGTGAAGAGAAACAAGAGTTATCATAGTTGAAAATGTTGAAATGAATAAGTTTAATATTATCAACATAATTATCGTCTGAAAAGTGCTCTGGTCATATCCACAATTACGTAAGAATTCGGTGAATGTATGTGAAGAATCTCGTAATTTGTAAGATATTTGTGAAGAGAGAAAACTTTTTCATTTTCCTTATAGCACGCAACATCCTAGGGACCGCTCTATTTGGTACAATTCAAGTTAAAATGTCTTGGACCTAAAATAATTGTCTTTGGGACGTCCCATATCGCACATTTCATGCTATGTCTGAGCAAGGCATATAATGTTAAACGTTTCTTCAAGGACATCCATCAGATGTCCCAAATATATTCTTGACTTGACTGCAGATCTTATATATAATGTCCCTTCGAGAACAACCATGAGATGTCCCAGACGGTAGATTTCTTCAAATATCTCTGCACGGATCGTATGACATTCGAAATATCCCTTAGGGACATCTGTTGTATATCCCAATTGGTATATGAACTTTTATTACTTCGGAAGGAACTCCTATTGATAACCACATGGTCATCTAAGTAATGAGTACAAGAATATTCTTCAGGGAATATATAGTTTCATAAAATGTTATGAGTATGAAGTCATAAGGACGTCCTCAGAATGAGCTGGATACGATTCGGAATGTATCCTAAGGTCGGTGGTATATATTGGCATCAGGACTCCAGATTGACATCCTTTATAAATGTTACGTTCAATATGTTGTCCCAGGGGGGACGACTCCTTGTTGGCTATAAATACTTTCTTGTCAATGTCCTTTACGAAAGTCCATTGGACATCCTTGAGAAACTTCTTTGATGGGACCTCTTGTAAACCTACTTCAGGATTTATTGGAAACCTTCTACGGACCTATCAACAAGATGTCCTCATCAGTTATGCAAGATCTGGTCCTAGGAAGACCCATATAAATTCAAATTCATGAATAATTCGTACGTCCCTGAGGCATTCTATAGACATCCAATTAAAATCCCTCAACATTGCTGATAGGTTGTCATACGGATCTCCTTCATAGTCCTCGATGAGAAATACTGTAGGATTTGAGTATCCGATAGTTGTCCCAGGGATATCCCTTTAGGGCGTCTTTAGTTGGTTCTCAAGTGGGACGTTTGTGCGTCCCACAGACGTCTAATGGACGTTTGTGGTACCGAATTCGAACGTCCTTTGGATCTCCTGAATAGGGCTATGGGCTTTTGCGTTCAATTTGAATAATTGATCCTTCTTTCTTCGACAGGATAAAAGGAAACTGGATGACATGTGCGATAAATAATTTAGTTGAACTCGATGAGTTGGCCTTAGGAATAACCAGATAACTATTTTTTCATTATTTGTAATCAGTTTACTTAATACAAAAAGGTGGATATAAATAAAATGATATAAACACAGTAAAGTCACTTCCTAGCTGCACTCCTCTTCACAATTCTTCGCCTGTTTCTCGAAGCATTCTGCTTAGCTTCGGCTGCTGCTGACTCAGCCTTCTTAGCAGATTCTTTGGTCTTGCTCAGATCGGCCTTGGCAGTCTGCAGCTGCTTGGTGAGCTGCTCCATTCTAGCTCTGGCAGCTTCCAGAAGTTGCTCCTTCTCGTTAACCTGCTGGGTCATGCCCTCGAATGATTGTTGGGCATTAGCAGCGTTGCCTTGCGCCAGCTGGAAAGATGTCTGTAAGAGCTTGAGCTCAGCTTGGGACTGTTGGGCAGCCTTGTTGGCAGATTGAGCGGTTTGTTGGAGCTGTTGGAGGCTTGAGGTTTCCTCGTTCACCTGAAAATCATGCATCCTCCCAACAGTTGTTGACAAACAGAAATATTGAAATCGAGACTCAATAGGTGCGTTTGCTTATATCATAGACCGGATCTATATACCGGTCATACTTCAAAAACGGGAAAATGTGCAACTAGCTCGTGAAAAATAAAGTCACCGGCAAGAAATGAGCATGTATTTCAGTTATTCGGAACGTGAGCATGTATTTCAGTTATTCGGAACGTGAACATGTATTTCAGTTCCTTATAAAAGCTGATAGCTTGATCATTATACACGGTAAAACTGAAGTTACTCTTCCGCCTTTAATTTCTCAAGTGAGTTGTTAACTTAGCTTCATTATGTTTCGGAGTAGAGTGTGATCCCTCTTCAACACCATTACTTATTCATGTCAATTATTTTTTCCTGGGCGTGTACACCTTAGTAGAACTTTTAACTCAAACCATGTTCATAATGATCCTTTTATACATAAATAATGATTGACGACATATTTCGATCGAAAAATCAACTAGAATGTTTTATTTGTGGACATAAATAATAGTACCTTCTGAAAACGGACCATCTTATGACGTAGAAACCTCATCTCGCCATAGTTAAAAGAAAATACCAAACGCCCGACGGAGACTGAGGCAACTGATATATTAATTCTTTCAAGTGTGATCTCGCGTTAATTCACTCTGTCAGAAATCATGTATCATTCATCTCTGTCTGGAATAGTCATGTTTCAGTATTAGGGTATTGACGTCACATCATCGCCTCGTTTTCAGAGGTCCGAAAAATCGGGGATTTCAATAATTTTTAATAAAACGTAGGGACCTCACAGCAAGAAACGGTTTGCGGTGGTGAGCTAGTTTGGGTGAGTTCTATCGAATTATGAAATAAAAATTTTTCGTGATATAAGCCCATTCAGAACCTATAGAGCATCTTTGAAATGAACTACAGAGACGGATCCGTCTTCGTTTGGCCTTGCCTTGCTCTTCAAGAAGAATTTGAAGCAATTCTTCAAGACTGCTCAAGAAATTTGAACAATTCGATACCATGGCAGTTGAATGCTGTACCTAACTAGAGCTTACGACTATACAATTATTTTTTATGAGTGTTGAAATAAATAGGTTGGTTTTGGCCTATTGTATTCCTGATCATGCTGTTGACTCAGGTGAACAGGTTCGCTACCTTGATAAGGTTTAGCAGCCTCTTCACCAAATCATTCGTTGGTAAAGCCTCTTGAGAGTTTGATGCTCCCAGAAGGTTGTATCTCCAACGCGCTAGTGCTTCGCACTCCAATATTACATGGGTGGCAGTTTTCTCCTCCTCATTGCATAGTCTGCATATGGGTTCGTCTCTATAGATGCCCATTTGATGCATATGCTTCCTCAAGGGGCAGTGACCGGTTATTAGTCCCGCCACTTGTCTAATCTGACTTCTGTTTAGGCTCAGAATGTCGTTAGTCACTGTTTTGGACAGTGTTCCAACCATCATCAGTTTACTGTGTTTTTGTCCTGGGACATTGTTCCAGTATGTCTGATGTCTTTCTTGCGTCCACCTTGACAGCCAATAAGTAGGTTGGGAATAAGTGATATTAATTTTCAGAAGCTTTTTTTCAAGTGTCATGTATATGTTCGGACTTATTGTTGTAAAATATAAAGAAAACCATACTTTCCCAAAACACTTAAAATTAAGTATCTTACCTTTGAAAGATGATTTTAATGTGAAATCAAAATAATTGTATCGAGAAGGAATGGCACTTCAAACCAAAGTATAATGAAGCTGAATTTAACCACTCACTTTTGCCACAGGGCGCTCAGAACTTAAGGGTGAGTGAGTAACTTTTGTTTTCCCCTGTATAACGATCAAGCCATCAGGTTTTCTTGCAGAGGAACAGTCAGTCTCACATTTACAAATATGAATCTACGATTTGGTCAAAACTCCACCAAAATCAGACAAGATTTAAAAAGTTACAGGGTGATCATTTGGTACATTTTCTGTGGCCGGGTTTGTTTTTGCTGGTGTATATAGCAAGGTTATTGTAATACTGTATGATTCATATCAGTAACCCTCTCGATACTAAACTACGTGGACGCCTGTTATGGACACAAAGTTGAAAATGAAGGTGAGTATATTTTTATCAACGATCAGCTCCATGTGATTGATAACAAATGGTCTGAGTTCAGTTAGATTCCTTATATATTCTAGTAATGTATAACTAATAAGATCCTACATGCTTAAGGAATATTTTGGGGTTGGGTTATGAAGCATTATATGGATATTCAAATATTCACCAGAGAAGAGAATATCAGTCATCAACTCTATGTGTTCAGATGTTTATTATCCATGGAGTTAAAAAAATACATGGAGTTGAACAACAAGTCCATGGAGTGAAACACTCGGTGAGACATGCTGCTGAAATCACTAGAACCAAAAAACATAATTATTTTGAGTTGGATTTCAGTATATACAGAGTGATTCATTGGGGTTGCGCGTACAGTAAGGGTAGATGGAGAACACAACATTTTTTCAATTACTCATAACTCATGAACCACCCTATACAATTTGTTGATAGTTGGTTTGTATGTTCCTTGTCCACAGTGGTGACGATTGACATAATAAAAAAAGTTTTATTCCAAGGCCGGCCTTGATAAAATAAATGAGTAAGTGAGATTAAAGTAGAATTCAACTGATGATTTAATATTAGTTCGTTTTTTGAAAAATGCTCTAGGTATACAGGGTCCTGCATCTCACCTCCCGTCTTCTATAGCTCAGTTATCAGTTGAGTCAGGATTTTGATATTTTGCAGACTTCAATTGTCTCATAAGGCGCATACCAGAAAAATAATTTAGATTGTACAGGGTGTCCCAAAAAAGTTTGATGTCATAATGATATATTTTTTTAAATGGCATGCCATATATGTATATTTCGTTGCACATTTGAGCGCATTCAGTGGTCACCTATATACTCCTGGAATTTAATTGAAATCGGTTCAGTGATATTCACGTAAAAAAAAAAACAAGAATCGTAAGAGATACATCACGTTTTTTATTCATTCAAATGACTATCAGAATAGTTGATGAAACTAGTTTTCGCCAAATAACTTTTGATACGATGAGAATTTCGATGAGGTTGTAATAAGAAAAAAAGTTTGTTTTTCATTCACGCATCGAATGACATGAAAATATACAGGGGCTCCAATTTGAAATAAGAAAAGATGTAGTGCTTTGAAATTTGAATAGTTTGCCACTAAATGTAGCACATCCTGTGATGATTCGTGTCAATCAAACCCGGTTAGCGATCCTCTCAGGTCTTATTTGATATGTATTTCTTATGATTCTATTAACTGGCACTCTCTTTTCTGTTATTATTGTTTTTGACCAGTGTTGCAAAATTGTTTTTTTTTACGTGAATATCACTGAACCGATTTCCAGCATTTCCAGGAGTATGCAAGTAAGTAACCACTAGAAGCACTCAAATGTGCAATAAAATGACATGCTATTTAAAAAAATAAATCATCATGACGTCACACTTTTTTGGAGCGCCCTGTATAATCGAAATTATTTTCCTGGTGATACAATTTGAGTCTGCAAAATATCAAAATCATGACTCAACTAATAACTGAGCTATATAAGACGGGAGATGAGGCTTGCATGATGCTTTCGGTAAGGTTCCTGAAGAATATCCAATCCCTCACAAAAATACTATTGTGAAGAAGTTTTCATTTTCAGTTTTTACACTCACCACCATATCAGCTTGTTTGATTTGTTCTTGGAGCTCTTGTACCAAATCCTCCTTTCCAGAAAGAGCAGCCTCTGCAGCTTTGGCTGCCTGCATAGCTTTTCCTGCTAGTTGCTCCTTGACTTGCCTGGCGGCTTGCTGTCCTGCTTGTTGCTGAGCATCTCCTGCAGCTTTAGCTTCTAGAGCAGCTTTCTCGGCGATGTTGGAAGCTTGGGCTCCGCTAGAGCCGTGGCCTGACCCTGGTTTGCAATCGGATCCATTAGGACAGGAAGCATCGTCTCTATTGGCTGTGGGGATTTCGCCCCTATTTCCTTTCGGAGAGACTATCAGAATTAACGCAACCAGAAATGCTCTTGTGGCTTTCATTCAATCAATATCAATCAAAATTTTCACATTCAGATGTCATTTCTATCGGTGAATGTCATGTTAAGATGACTTTAACGTCAATTTCCATCAAGGAACCCTAGGTGTATGGAACAGGTACTCTGCTGCAAATCGTGGTCATTTGGAATCAAATAAAATGATATGATCATCATTATTATGTGTGGGTCGACATCACGTTGATAGGGTGAATCCGAGGGTTGTGTATTATGAGTTTTTCGCCATTGTGCTGCCAATTATTGCATCCTACTTATATCTTATAGACTGAGAGTTGTAAACAAATTTCATTGTCCGATTGATAGATCGATATCTCCAACCATAGTATTGCCGTAACATCATTGAAAACTTATCGGGATATCTGGCCGGTTTTCAGCGGTGGAGGCGGCCGTGGTTTGGCCGTAAAGGGACGAAACAAATCAGTGCAATGTATGATTGATAGAGCGCTGAATTTTTGTGGGGAGGTAGCCGATTATGTTTGCTTTTCAATTGAAATTATGTGAGACACATTTATAGTGGTGGAATCATACCACTAGACAGCGTTGAAAGTGCGTGAAAACGATACTCCATTGTCATATAAATAGAGCCTTGAGCCATTTTTTTTTCGTTATTTTTTCTTGTTCCGTGCGAAAATCTACTTTACGCCACAACAGCTTCTCATGCTCTACAGCACCCCAAGTAACACACGAGGAGCTCTTATTGCGCCTTAAGCTTTATAAATGATTCATTCTGACAACGTATGAAGCGAATTGGTTACATTGAAGCTTCGTTTGTCACAAAATTGCTCATAAAGAGATTTTATGAAATAAAATTGCTGATTAAACTTTCTCAGCGCTTAAATACGGCGAAATACGGGCATACTTCATGGTATTTGATATATCGTTTTATTTCTTTATAAAAGATTTAGTGAGATCTTTCTCACAGAAACAAATTATGCACATTCATAAGTGTCGTTTAAGCCTTTAATAAAACTGAGATTCAAATAATTTCAAAGAACAATTTCACAGCTTCTTAGAACTTTGAGCCAAATGCAATGCCAGACCTTTTACAGAATACAATGAAAACTATCATTATACAGGGTGTTTATTTAGTACGTGTAAAAAATTCAGGAGCATGTTGCTGTCAAAATAAGAAGAAAAGTTCGTATAAATATATGTCCTGAAGTTATTCGTTTCTGAGAAACAGAGAGTCAAAGTTGAATTCTTATATTTGTTTTTTGATAATAAATTTCAAAATAATTGTGATATTCGAATGAAGTTTGGTATCCAGGGATATTTTCCAGTGACAATGTCAAATTTTATGTTAGTTTACATTAAACTGAAGCCAATCGATATTTCTTTGTTGGGTCACTTGAAGGCCTCAGTTTATACGGTGCCAATAGAAAGCGAAGATCAACTTCGTCAACGAATCATTGCTGGATGTGACGCTATACGAAATACACCTGGTATAATGGAACGTGTACGTGGGTCTATGAGACCAGAGATTATACACACAATCTCTGATGAGACGATGAGCCCACGCATGCAAAATGATGCAAGGTGGCCACTTTGAACAATTACTTCAATTGTTTCCCTCAACTTACTGTTATAGTGTTAATTTGGTCTTGATTACTGATATTATTATTGAATTGTAATAACACCCGATTCCTATTTTGAAATGAAATTAAAGAAAAATAATTTCCCTCACTCAATAAATCAAATTTGAATTCCAACTTCTTGTCATTCCAAATCACTTGCATTGATTATCCCAATAACTCGAAAACATTACAGATAGAGTCACTGTAGAAAACATATACTCGCAGCGACCTCTACCAGGAATATATTTTTCACACAGGAATGTTCGAGAAATCTTTTCATCTACTATAGAACATGATACAGGTACGCATAAGTTATGACTTTTCAAAAGACTCAAAAGACATGTAGGTGGCGCCATCCCCACGGAAAGAGACAAACTAACATAAAATTTGATATTGTCATTGAAGAATATCCCTAGATACCAAACTTCCTTCGAATATCATAACTATTTTGAAATTTATTAACAAAAAACAAAAATAAGAATTCAACTTTGACATTCTGTCGTATTATTTGTGCCTATTTTGGATTTATAGATACTTCGTTGGTGCTGAAAGAATGTTTTCAACTCTATACTTATATAGCATTGAGTTATTGCTATTTTATAGCTATTTTTAGCGTTTTCAAAAAGTAATTTGTGCTACTTGGGACATATCCGGCCAGTTTTAGAATACTGTTTTCATGTATGGAGTTTAGCACCCAAGCATACGCTGATGCTCTCAGATTCCATCCAGAGAAGAGCCCTTCGCCTGGTGGGTGATGCCACACTCACCAACTCCATGACTATATCAGAACACCGTAGTTAAGTCGGCGACCTTTCACTTTTCTATAGATACTTCAACGGGAAATGTTTCTCAGAAATCTCTGCTTTAATTCCATCACTAGCAATACCAGCCAGACGAACTTGACAAGTCCAGTCAGCACATCCCTTCCTCGTTAACCTTGAAAATTGTCGAACACTTTACCAAAACTCGTTCGTCTATAGAACGGCGAAGCTTTGGAATTCTTTGCCAATGGAAGTACTCTCAAGAACTTATATCCTCGAAAAGTTCAAAAAAATTCCAACTTCTACCTCCTCTCCCTGTCCTCCTTAGGAGGACATTATAGGTAATTCCTTTCGTGCGCTCCAAGAGATGAAAAAATCTCATTGAAGTAAAGGATCACTTATATCGACTTGCTATCCATTTGTTGTGAGCTATTTTCAAACTATTCTTGTTCCTCTCAATTCTATTTCAGATTCCTTTTATAGACGTTTATCGATATATCTATTGATTCAGTTAAGTTCCACGTCCAATGAATCATAGTTATTACCAATGAAGGCAAAATATCTAGACTGTCTGACGATAACATGAACAAGTCTTTCTACATAGCTTATAGTAGTTCCTCTTCAATTAAGTATGTGAACAATCACTTGACAATTAAATTTGATTGCCAAATCAGGAAATACGAAAGATTGAATGAAAAATTGAGTACTGTATTACAATCCTCATATTATATTCGAAAATACTGATTTTTTACGATATTCTCGCTTATTGGGGTTTTAGCTTCCTATGACATAATAATTGTTATACCCGAGCCAGTGGTTGATTATATTATACCAAATAAAAATAGTACAAAAATACATGATGAGAATATAATATAAAACTATATAAATATCCGGATGAAACAGGTATGGTGCGCATATCTTTTATATTTAGTTTTTGAGATGAATGATAAACGTCTTAGTGACATTCCAAATATGGATAGGTATCTATTTCTATTCCATTTCCAATTTTCCATCTCAGTGTGCGATGATTTACTATTGTTTTATAACTGACCAGTGTTGTAATCCTGCCAGAAAAGTGAAATCCCATGATAATTTATCATCAAATTAAGATCATCAAAATGTCCAATGAAACCACTGTTATTACCACTAGTCATGATGAATGTTCATTCATGAAATAGTTCATAGATATTATAGAAATTTGTGATGAATACCAATATTGTTCGAAAAAACATTTCGATTAACTCAATTTGGTGATATATTATGCGAATTGAAGTTTTTGACAGGATTACAATTTTTCTATAGCAATACACCGATCAATATGAGTGAATCGGTATAGTTTTCACACACTTAGGTGGATAATCGAACATGGAATTAAAATAGATGAACCTTCTCTACTTGTATTTCAGAAAGCGTCATTTGTATTTCAGAATAGTCACTTGTATTTTACAAAGTACAAATTGAATTCCAGAAAGCGTCAATTGAATTTCAGGATAGTCACTTGTATTTCAGACATCAGCGTCAATTGAATTTCAGAATGGTCAATTAAATTTCCGAAAGCGTCAATTGTTTTTCAGAATAGACAATTGAATTTGAGAAAGTATCAATTGTATTTAATAAAATATCAATTGAAATACAAATGACACATTCTGAAATACCTTCTTCCTTGAATAAAATTAACGCTTTTTGAAATTGGATTGACTATTCTGAAATACAAGTGACTATTCTGATATACAATTGATGCTTCCTGAAATACAACTGGAAAAGGTTCAGATATTGATGATAGACAGATGCTTGAAATGTCATTCATGTGCCATATTAAAATTTGAAGTGAGTACCACCTCTATGTCAAAACGTGACGTTTATCAAATATACGAGTTGTTTGCAATTTACAATCATCCGTCTTTGAAACTGAAGGAAAACAGGAACTTCAACCATGATATTGTTACACTTGGTATGTGTCCTTCTGGAAACAGCTTGGAAATCACTTCCTACCAGCACCCCTTTTCGTGATTTTTCTCCTGTTTCTTGACGCATTCTGCTTAGCTTCAGCGGCAGCTGTTTCAGCTTTCTTAGCCGAGTCTTTAGTCTTGCTCAGATCTGCTTTGGCAGTCTGCAGTTGCTTGGTCAGCTGCTCCATTCTGGTTTTGGCAGCTTCTAGTAGCTGTTCTTTTTCATTGAGTTGCTGGTTGATCCCTTCGAGGGCTTGTTGGGCATTGGCTGCGTTGCCTTGAGCCAGCTGAAAAGAAGTCTGCAAGAGCTTGAGCTCGGCTTGAGCCTGCTGGGCTGCTTTGTTGGCCGATTGCACCGTTTGTTGGAGTTGTTGGAGGCTGGTGGTTTCTTCGTTCACCTGTGAATGAAAAAATTTCATCAGAAAGCTATTCTGGAGTTCAGATTTGTCGAAATTGTATTTGCTGTTAAAAATCTTTTAGAATCTTATCTTGCGAATAGGACAATCAGCACTAAATGTGATATGTCAGAGTCTCATAAATTTTCAATAAGTGAAGGTGTTCCACAGGGATCTGTTTTAGGGCCCTTCTTGTATTTATTATATATTCAAAATATTTCTAAAATCGGATTTTCAGGTATTTATACTATATATGCAGATGATACTGTACTTCTATACGAAAACAAAAACCCCATCATCCTAGAAAATATTATTAACGAAGATTTGAAAAAATTTGAAAAATGACTTTATTCAAACATTTCACCAATTAACACCAATAAAACTGAATATATAATATTCCATCAAAAAAATAAACAGAATATTAGTCTCAATCTCCAAATTAAAAATAAAGTATTGAAAAGAACTACACGAATGAAGTATCTTGGTTTGTGGATTGAAGAAAAATTGAAATGGGACAAGCATATAGAGGTTCTGATACAAAAAATATCTCCAATCATTGGAACTTTGCGAAGATGTCCTAAACTTGACAAAAAAGTCATAAACATAGTACTTCATTCTCATATACTCAGTCGTATTACCTATATGATAAACGTTTGGGGATCTTGTTCAAAAAATTATTTCAGTAAAATATCTGCACTTTATAAGAAAGCACTAAAAGTATTGTATCGCCTCTCATTTGATATCCCAACAAATGATCTGTATGCGATAACATAAACATTTTCATCGGATGAATTATATAAAATAGATTCTCTTAAAGTTTCATATAATATAATAGACAATAATCTGAAATCCAATTTTGTTTTGGTAAGAAACTCAGAAATTCATGGTCATCACACGAGACAATTAAACTTATTTCATCTTGATTCTGCTACTTCTATAATTGGCCAAAAAAAATTACTCACGCTGCTCTAGCTGAATTTAATAAATTACCACATAATATAAAAAATTGCAGACATATTTCAAAATTTGAGATTGAATTGAAAAAACACATGGATAAAATTGATACTTTGCCATCTACTGATTAGTCCCTGTGGCTATTTTTATGACTTGATCGATTTAGCATTTTTAGATTTTTTAGATTATTATTGTTGTTGTTGTCACCTTATATTATTTTATTATTGTTGTTTGTAATCAACTTCCTCATACCAGAATTTTATTTCTGACTGGAAGCTAGTTTTTCAATAAACAATAAACAATAAATAATAACCTTGAATGAAACGAACAAATTTGGGTCGAAATAGCCTGTTTCTAATTGCATATCAACCACGAACATTATAGGAATTTCCTTTCATGCGCTCCAAGAGATGAAAAAAAAACAAAGATTACCAAAAATATGTATTTCTGTTAGCTGAACAGGTGCTGCTAGTTCAGAGCTCCCTAATAGTATATTTCAATGTTGCCTAATGTATCATCCCCTATTGGGTCATTTTCATGGAAATAGGTCTTTACCCTGAATCAGATTCAACAACATTGTCACTAAGACCTTTCTTGGGATTCTATCACCAGGGTGTAAATATAACCTTCAATACTTGGAACAGCTGAACGCTATATGAACCACCGTCATATTCAGAATTATGGATGGATATCTTTATATGAAGGAGAATGCAAATTCTCTACTTCAGAAGATTTTGTTTTCAAATTCTCATCGTGTATGTTCAGTAGATGTAATTCGATATTCGTCGTGGCATATAGACGGGAAAGTAGTTGTTTTCTGTTGAATAAACCGAGAAAGAATTGATATTCTCATCACATGGAGAATGCGAATTCTCAATGTATTTCTTTACATACAGTGTGACCCATTTAAGATGGAAGCACCCTTATAAAACTTACATTTTTCAACCGATTGGAATGATTTTTTTTTTGTTAGGTAGATATTCAAAAAGTCTATTAGGACACCAAATATCATGAATAAATCTCCATTTCCAGGGCCAACTAATCTGATTTTTCAAGGTCAAAAATCTAAAAAAATTACTAGCGATTTTTTTAGAAAAAATCTGACTACACCACTGGATTTGTGACATTTTCAAATGGGTAACATGTAAATTACGTTGAAATGCGTCAATCAATAAAAAAGTTATAAAGGAATGAAATTTGAAAAATATGCCGTTTAATCAACCCACCAATTCATGTTCAGGAATTTTATGAAAATTCTGTATACTCCACTGGATTCAGGATGTCTTGAAATATTACTGATCACAGTTTCATCGAAATCTGTTCAGTAATAAAAATTGATGGGTTGATTAAACGGCATATTTTTCAAATTTCATTCCTTTATAACTTTTTTATTGATTGACGCATTTCAACGTAATTTACATGTTACCCATTTGAAAATGTCACAAATCCAGTGGTGTAGTCAGATTTTGTCTGAAAAAATCGCTAGTAATTTTTTTACATTTTTGACCTTGAAAAATCAGATTAGTTGGCCCTGGAAATGGAGATTTATTCATGATATTTGGTAACCTAATAGACTTTTCGAATATCTACCTAACAAAAAAAAATCATTCCAATCGGTTGAAAAATGTAAGTTTTATAAGGGTGCTTCCATCTTAAATGGGTCACACTGTATATATCCATTTTTTTGTGTTCATAAATATATCTGAGAACAATTCTTTTTCAATTCAAGATATAGTTGTTATATTTCCATTATTTACAACTCAAAAAGCAGAACAACATTGTCACTAAGACCTTTCTTGGGATTCTATTACCAGGGTGTAAATCTAACCTTCAATACTTGGAACAGCTGAACGCTATATGACTCACCGTCATATTTTCGAAATCAGGAAAAATCTTTCAAGTTTTTCGAAAATATACAGAATGTTACACGACGATTTGGCCACGTGATATCACGGAAATTGTCGAATATGAATAGCAACGCTGCCTTCACTTCGAATTTTACATTTTTTTACCCAGGGTCTTTAGTTTTCGAACACGTGACAACAATGAATATGAAATTTCAAATGGGACACCTGTGAAAGTGTTTACTTAGTTTGAACAGTAAACTGTAATTTCTCTCATTGTTGAATTATCTTGAAAAAAATTAAAAAAAAACAGAGTAGAGAACGTTCTGATCTTTGAATTTGCCTGACGAAGCAAATTCAAATTGATAGAAAATGCCTTATACTGGGTGTCAAGTGGGGAGTAATGAGGGATAACATACCCTGATTAGGTAGAACTGTTAAGTATACACCTTCTTCTCGTTTTATTCGGGCTCTTCCTACGTTATCTTCTTTCCTCTGATAATGTTGAAATTGCTCATGAAGTTCCACATCAAGATATCAAAAAATAAAACTATTGATCAAACTTCAACTAGGGCTTTTCTTTCTGTTTATATGGGCCACATAATTCATCTAGAGAATGTTCGAAAGAACAAGACAAATTTTTGGGACTATTTACTTCGCACATCTTCGCATGTACCTTATGCTCTAGTAACGTCAACTGGTGAGATTGAGAATGTTCACCCTTATCAAGTGAAATATATGGATTTTGCGGCTAGTATTTTCTAATTTCAATGAATATGGTTCCCACGTACGCACCGTTGAAATCGACTTACCTCACCTTTCGTAAAAGTTGTAGTATAACCGGCGTCCCATTCGAAATATTACCGACGGAAATGAAAGAATGAAAGTTCAATGTCAATTAACGAGTAGATGCATCTTATCATTCATGCTTATCTCTCAAATTCTGCTATGATAACATTGAAGATTTACGAGATATAGACGGGTCAAGTACGTGAGACCGTGTAGATATGGGGTGTTCCAAGGGCTCAAGGTCTTCTTCAAATTGGCTAGATAGCCCTAAAAGCTACATGAGGCCTGCTTCTTTCGAAACAGTGGTATGTCCTGTGTGAACGAAAAGGATCGGGTAAACTTGGAATCTTCCCTCCAATGTAGAACACTATGCGGACCAAGAAGTGTACCTAACAGTTTTACCTATCTTGACCCTACTATATACGAGCTTAAGTACGCCACAGTAGCACGATCTGGTGGACAATTGAAATATCGCGATATTCATTTGCTGGTGGAATTTTCCGGTGTTTGAGACAAACCCCTCATGAATTTTCAATTCGACATTTTCTCCCTGCCTCTATCTCCAATACTATAGACTAGAGAAGATGAACTATGAGACAATCGACTTGTTAGTTCTTCGACTTCATAAAGATCTCGTCGCAACCAAGCCGACCGTTGAATTCTGCCGGCTAACGACGATCGGGGCCTCTGGGGGCCTCTGAAATCGCCACCTAATTGCCTCTGTCAACCGACCGCAACCGTTTGGCGGTGCAATGATTTCTGGTAAAGCAAAAAACGCAATGGTCACGTTTATACCGTGTCATGGTTAAGCTGACTAATGACTCTTGGTCAGTTTGGTACCAAATATCCAGACGGTATAAACGTGGCCATTGTTGCGCTATACCGAGAAACGACTCCCAGGGAGTGAACCGAGGGGTAAACCGCGGTGGAATTCTGGTGTACAAATAACTGGAATTTCTTGGATTTCCTTGTAATTTCCTGGAATTCCTTGGAATTTCTTGAATTTCCTCAGATTTTCTTGAAATTTCTTAGATTTCCTCGGATTTCCTTGGAATTTTCCGGAATTCCTTGAGTGAAATGCGGTATATTCCTGGGCTACAAACATCTGGAATTCCTTGGATTTCCTTGGAATTCTTTGGATTTCCTTGAAATTCTTTGAGTTAAGTGCGGTATAATTCTGGTGAACAGGGTGATTCAACATAAATGTTCCCCCCTTTACCTCACTTATTTTCAAATCGATTCGAAAATTCTGAAAATCATCTACAATGATTTTTCAGAATTTTTTTTCTCGTTGCATCAGAAAATACAGAGTGCTCGGAACAAACGATCTACAGATTACTACTTGATTTTTTCATATGGAACACCCTGTATTTCATTGTATCTTCAGATTCTCCCTGAAGAGCTGATTTCATCAATACATCACACTAGGGGTCTAGCGGTAATGATTACAGAGATATTGGGTGTTCAAAATCGAGATTTTTCAACTTTAGCATTTTTTGTGTCGAAACTATTCGTTATTGGTCGAAACGGCCCAAATATTACTATCTCAACCTGCGATTTACATTCAATTGGAACATATACAGTGTGAAATACTGTCTGTAGGTTAATCGAGGAGGTGGTACATTCATTATTCCAAAATTTTTTGGGATTTTCTCTCCTCGTTTCTATAAAATAAAAATATGAATATTATTTCAATATAAGTGTAGTAAGGACAAATCAGATGATTTGCCCCAAAATGTCACTGCGTTTAAAGAATTTTCCTATCAGAGAGCCTAAAAGAAAAATTCACTAGCTTGTCACCAATTGTCATTGAAAACTGAAAAGCTTCAAGACATATTATACGACTTCGCAATTGGAAAAATCTCTTCATGTTGAAAACGGGAGCAGAATCGGTCCCGAAACGTCCAAAGATAAGTGAAAATTTGATATTTTTTCTATATACCTTTATTTCTCTTCTCCAAAAATTTTTCGATACAAATTGTCACTGACAAGCTAGTGAATTTTTCTTTCAGGCTCTCTGATAGGAAAATTCTTTAAACGCAGTGACATTTTGGGGCAAATCATCTGATTTGTCCTTACTACACTTATATTGAAATAATATTCATATTTTTATTTTATAGAAACGAGGAGAGAAAATCCCAAAAAATTTTGAATAATGAATATACAATGTGGTTCAAGATTCAGGATTCTGATCACCCTGTATCTGTTCCAATTATTGAATGTCAGTAGATAGTAAATCAAAAGTTTAGATACGGACATGAAAGCCGTTTTGACCGATAATGAATAGTTTCGTCACAGAAATATACTAAACAATTTGAAAATCTCGATTTTGAACACCCTATATCTCTGTAATTATTTTCGCTAGACCCCAAGTGTGATACATATTGATGAAATCAGCTCTTCAGGAAGGATTTACAAATACAATGAGATATAGAATGTTCCATTTAAAAAAATCAAATAGTGCCCTGTAGATCGTTTGTTCCGAGCACCTTGTATTTTCTGATGAAGCAGAAAAAAACTCTATCGGAAACCATTTTAGATACTTGAAATTTTGCAATCGGTTCAAAAATAACTGAGCTAGAGGGGGGGACATGGTGAATCACCCTGTACAAATATCTGGAATTCCTTTCAATTCCTAGGAATTTCTTGGATTTCCTTGGAATTCCTCGAATTTCCTTGGAATTCCTTGGAATTCATTGGATTTCCTTGGTATTCATTGGGTTTCCTTGAAATTCCCTGGAATTCCTTGGAGTTTCTTGGAATTCCTTGTGTGAAGTGCGGTAAAGTTGTGGTGTACAAACAACTGGAATTCCTTGTGAAATTGAAGTTTGGTGTTCGACCACGGTTTACCCCTCGGAGTGAACTATCTGCTACAATTCAGTAATCTTTGCCAATACTACACTTTGACGGAATGAGCGCTCACCACCATCTCAGCCTCCTTGATCTCCTCCTGCATCTGCTCCACCAGCGCCTCCTTGCCGGAAAGCGCCGCCTCGGCAGCCTTGGCCGCCTCCATCGCTTTCTCGGCCAGCTGCTCCTTCACCTGCCTGGAAGCCTGCTGCCCGGCCTGCTGCTGCGCGTCCTCCGCAGCCTTCGCTTCCTGGGCGGCTTTCTGGGCGATGTTTGACGCTTGGGCGCCATGGCCCCCGTTGGCCCCGTGGGCCCCAGGGGTGCACTCGGGCTCGTTCAGACAGGAGATGTCGTCTTTGTCAGCGGAGGGGCCTTCGAAGTCGTTCTCGGCGCCAAGGGCTGACAGGATGGACACGAACAGGAATACGAAGATGGTTTTCATCTGATCATCGGTTTTTATTTATTGAAACTTATGTCATATATATGTCAGTCAATGACATATATAGCATGGTTGTGTAGTCGAGATATAGATGTATAGAAAGTCAAATGGTGTTATCACTTCCTATTCGCGAAAATCACGAACCAATAGATGGCTCTATTATATGTCAGATCAACGTCAAATTTCCACCTGAGTATGAACAACAAAAACATTGCCGTATGCACTCATTGCAAATTGGTTATTTCCAAATCATTTTGCAAAATAGTGAATAATAAGTTGACTTCTTGAAATACGTACAAGGTTTCCAGTATGGAAAAAATTACTTTTTGTGCAGAGAAATTGCCATTTTGATGTGGACAATGGTGGTGTTCATCATTGATATCACACTACAATCCCACAGTTTTCAAACATATGGAATGATCGGAATGATCCACTCAACAATTGCATGGACTGGAATGGAACCATACAAGCAATCAGCTATTACAACAATATGGTATAAGTATGAAGAAATAATTGAATCCATGAAGAAATATCACTGGCTTTTATGAAGGAGAAGAATTCTAGTGAAGGGGTTGGGAAAGAAGATATGGTTGGAGAGGCTGCTCAGAATGAACAATATCATCGATTTACATAAACAAAGATCTTCAGCAATTGAGGACTTGGAGTTATTGTCAAGATCGAATCATTGCAACCAACATTTATACAATGATTCTAGTTGTGCTTCAGAAAATGTATATCATATTATTATTAGGTAGGTACTGGTTTCTTCATTGTAAACAATAAAAGTTCATGCAATAATTCGAGTTTTTTCATCAGGGAGAAATGAGGTTCTGGAATATGCACTTCAACAAATAAATTATGTTCAAATAAAACACATATTTATGAAATTCAAAACAATGGTCGCCATATTTGTTGTTTATACTCGCAAGACTTGTACAGTTAGCCACCAGAGGCCGCACACTTCGTGATTTTCGCGAATTGAAAGGAGCGTCGAAATCTCTGGATATCGCCTACTTTGTAAGAATCTTGCTACATTTACGAAGTTTCAAACCAAATTTACAAGCATCATGACACATTCATCTGATGTCACATTCTTATTTCCAAATTTTTTGTACAAATGGAAAGGGTGCGTTATATTTTCGACTTTCAATGGTGAATTCATCATGAACGACACGAAGTCCTAACCCAAGAAAATCCTTTGATAATAGTATATCTATGCACTTTTGGTACATAAAATAACTTGAATGTTCGGATTTTCAAATAATCCTCACACATTGCAGCAGTCAATCCATGATAAAAGCACAATACTCTCACTCAACTAATAATATAATATCGATACCTGCTAAATAAGCTACTAATGCTCTTAATTTATGATATTTCCATTTGAAATTGGAACAAAATGTTGAATACGCTGAAAACTTGACACTCGTAACAGCTATGTCAAGATCAAGATGTTTCCTTGATGTTTCCACACAGATAATCTGTTGCGCCCTATATCTAGATGCTTCTTGTCAGCTATAATTGAATTAGTGCATCATCAACAGGACTCTTCAGGTCCCGAAAGAAGGAAAACACATCATTGAAAGTCTAGTTCAACTTGATAATGAGATTCGAAACGCATTTTTGAATTTTTCAAGAAATTGTCCATCGTTCACGCCATCTATCATCGAATATGAAAACCCCACGCTTCGAACTCGCATTCAATTTTTCATATCGAGAGCTAGTCTGACGAAACAATTCAAAAGTGGACACACCAGAGGAATTATGAACATCTCAGTCGAGATGAACCAACCTTGGTACCTACTTAGCGGGGTGCTGCTGGATTCTATCTGGATTCTGAAGTCACTGAACTCGAATCACTGACATACGACAAACGACGCGAGTGCTGGACAATGAATTTTCTTCTAGAGAAAATTTTTTGCTCAAGTAGAAATCCAATAAAATCAGTTAATTTGTGAACATCTGATTGAACACAACCAATCAAATCAACATTGAACTGAAAACAGATCCCATGGTCTATTTTCACTATATTATGTTGCTATGGATGCATTATGTTTCATTTCGATTTTGACATATCAAATATCGATGAAATTATCAAATCAAATATACCAAAGAATACTGTTTACAGTAAAAAATTTGTATGAAAAGTCTTTATGGACTTCTGCAATGTTAGAAAATATGAATTAGATGGAAATCGGACAGTGGAAGAATTGGCGTCGATTTTAAAGGATTGGGCTGTGAACATGAGAAAAAAAGATGGTACAGAGTTCAAAGAAGCTACTGTTGAATCCATGTGGAACCTAACAAGTAAGCTACTACAAGAAAAATATTATAAAGAAATGCATGTTATTATAGACCCATTCAAAAGTGTTGTATTTCAACAAGCGCGAGCTGCCCGCGATACTATACGAAGAAAACTACAATCGGAAAAGTATGGCATTTTTTAATTTTTATCAACAATATTCCACAACTTACGTGAACTCATCAAGATGCGATTAGTCGGTTTCGTCAGACTGGTGAGTACATACGACGTAGGGGATCAGGTAGACCATGTGTTACCAATCAACGTGATGACTATCTCATCAATCTAACAGCATTACGAGATCGTGGCACACCATCCACAGTTATAAGTCATAGAATACGAGATGTACGAGGTACAATAGTTTTTGCACGAACCATTCAGCGTAGATTGAAAGTAAGAGGGTTAATGTCCAGTGGACCCGCTGCATGTCCTCTGTTACTTCCTGTCCATCACACAGGGCGTTTTAATTTTGCTCGTGAACATAGCTACTGAAGAACCCAAGACTGGACGAATGTGTTATCCACGGATGAATCGCGTTTTTGTTTGTGCTCCCCTGACGGACGTGAACGAGTCTGGAGGAGGCCGGGTGAACGATTTGCTCAGTGTTGCATATCTCCAAGGACGCCATTTGGAGGCGGTAGTATCATGGTATGGGGAGGAGTATCATTAAATGCTCGTACGAACCCGGTGCTCATGGAAAATCCTTCTTTAACTGCTGATCGTTACATCCGACAATGTTTAGCTGAACATGTCGTGGTACCCTTTGCCGGCTTTGTTGGTCAAAACTTTATTTTAATGCAAGATAATGCCAGGCCTCATGTTGCGCGAATCGTGACAGAATACTTGGACGAGGTAAATATTCGGCGATTAGAGTGGCCCCCGCGTAGTCCCGACCTGAATGCTATTGAGCACGTTTGGGACATGCTGGGTAGACGTGTTCGCAATCGCCACCCAGAAACATTACCGGATTTGCGGACAGCCCTTCTAGGAGAATAGGAAAATATTCCGCAAGAGGCCATCGACAACTGCATTGAGAGTATGCCTCGTCGCATAGAGGAAGTACTAAGAAAACGCGGTGGCAATACGCGATATTGATTTTTAGTTGTTTCTTTTTCATTTCAAGTTGTTAATGTTTTTGTAAGTTCTGAATAATTGTTGATGAATATAAAAAATGTCATATTTTCTTGAAACACTTCTTCAAGGAAAGATATCGACGTGATTTATGAACCATTTTGTTAAGATACTAAACATAATAAAACTGATTTCAATTGCTCACTTTTGCCACAGGGCGTTAAGAAATTGAGAGTAAAAAAGTAACTTTTGTTTTTCACTGTATAATGATTAGGACAATAGATGTTTTTCGGAACAAAATATCAGGCTAATTTTGCGAAACGTAATTCTACGCTTTGGTATGAATTTCATCGAAATCGGAAAAGCATTACGAAAGTTACAGGGCGAACAATTTTGCTAAAAATTTCACTGTCCGGAATTTATTGTAGGGGAGTGTATTTCAGTTTCACAGAGCTATATATTATTATTAGAATATATAGCTAGTGGTGAAAAATATCCAATATACACCTCGGTATATTGAAGAATATCATTAGCACGGACCAGGGGACCTCATACCATACGGATGAAGCCTCGTAATATAATATTGGTCCCTTCAGGAACTTCGAGAATACCTCTCGGAATACCTACTCATTAAGTAGTTCGGTAAGGTAATGATGCTCAGTTTTTGTTTCTACGTATTAATTTCTAATTTTCATCACGCTTTTGTGAGTCTGTACTACCATTGACAAATACACGAGAGAATAAAAAGTGACAGTACATGAAATTGAGTATCTGAATCGTTCAAAGGAAATGGTGATATGTAAACGACACCAATACTCCACTGAAATTCATTCTGTGTTATGTGATATGCCATATGCCAGGCTGTTAACACGGAAACCCCTCGGATTTTATTTTGTTGAGATCTCGTGATGCATATTGTGAAACAGAATCGGTAGAATATATTATGTACTCACCTCGGTATATATTGTATTTCTGCAATGTGAATCTGGAATGGGTTACTCAGTTCTCAATACACTTTTTTCTATTGTTATTCAGAAATAATTGGATACATATTTCAGGAAGTATATCTTCAGATTTGTCAACTGTCAGAAAACGTGATATGTAATTCAGATCACATTCAGATCTCAGAGATCGTAACTTGAATTTCATATTAGACGATTGTAATTCAGTTAGCATCAATAGTATTTCAGAAAGCATAACTTGAAATTTAGAAAGTATCAACTGTAATTTGGAAACTAGGAACAAATCGAATGTATTCTCCTAGATTCTAGGACCTATAGAGTCTTCTTCGTTTAGGTCCATATACACCGTGTCCCAGCTAAAATGTCCCCCCCTGTGAAAAATCAACCGCAAGATCGAATGACTTGAAATTTGGTCACCCAGTATATTTGATGATGCTCACTCGAAATCTGCAATTGAATAAATCGTAGGTATACAGGGTCACACCAAAGTGCACCTGAACTGTCCTATTATGAATAGGGACACCCAGTATATTATTCCATATTTAAGTAGAGTTCATTATTACGAATTCAACAATGCCGAATTTGATGAGAATTTTACAAACGACTACGAAGATATGGCAAAACATGAAACTATTCAATAAAAACTGTATATGTTTAGATTTTATTATTATAACACGATTGAAATCGAATGAAAAGAAGATAATTTGAACCTCAACTGTTCCGTATGTCGTCTTTTTTGCTGAAAACATTTCCTATATCTCTTCATTGTGACCCTATGTATCACGTTGCGATAAATTTGTGCGCATTAATTTGTGATTTTCTCTTTCATTTCTTCCATATTTTCCAACTGGTGACTTATAAACCTGTTGTTCCAAGTAGCCCCACAAATAAAAATCAAGTGGGGTGAGGTCTGGCGACCGAACTGGCCATTGATACAATTGGTGCTTATCCGAATTTTCATTGAATCGTTTTATTTTTTGCCATATCTTCGTATTCGTTTGAAAAATTCCCATCAAACCCGGCATTGTTAAATTTGTAATATTGAACTTTACTTGAATATGGAATAATATACTGGGTGTCCCTATTCAAAAAGGAGTGTTTAGGTACACTTCGGTATGACCCTGTATACCTACGACTCATTCAATAGCATATTCCGAGCGAGCATCATCAAATATACCGGGTGACCAAATTTCAAGTCATTCGATCTTGCGATTGATTTTTCACAGGGGGGACATTTTGGCTGGGACACGGTGTATACTCCCCAATTTTGAACTGATAAGAACTATATAAATGAAAGTAAATCTTCGAGAACAACAAGTTGAAGGTCTGGGTATTTCTTGAGCAGAATATTGACTTACCATTATTTAGTTCCTTGGTATTTCTGGATTACAAGTGATGATCTTTAAATTACAATTTACGCTTTCTGAGTTACAACTGACCAATTTGAATTATAAGTCACAATTTCTGAATTTCAATTGAAAAAAGTGTAGAACATAATGCGTATACTTTTTGTTTTCAGAACATCAGGTAAGTATTCTATCAAAAGATGTCAGAGTTTTTTATTCGTAATGATGATCAATAGTCTTCAGTCAGAGGTTTTTATAAGTTTCTAGCACGTAAATCATATAATTGTCATCATCAGGTTAAAATCCTTTATTTCGAGAAATCAACTGGGATGATAAATTTGTTCACTTACGGAAGTTATAATAAAACGATTAACTCATGCAGAAGGTGGATTTATGGACTCCCGCATCTATTTATATCGATATGAATAAGGATATGATGGACCAAGCAATATATAGGATGGCTCTAAAAGGTCCAAATGCTATTACAGAATTTTCAGTGCAAAATATCAGGATTCAGTGAAAAAGTGCACAAACGATTTGATGTACACAAAATTCTTGAATAATAAACAATACTTGTTTCGCTATAATACAATAGCTCCTTCAAGTGAAATACTCGTACAATAACCAAACATTGACCTTTGAGTATTCACACTAGTATTGAATATTCAACTAGTGTATTGATTCACCTTATAGGTACCGGGTGACACAGGGTATCGGGCCACCCCTCTACTGGTACTGGTACTGGTACTGGTGGGGGACGTTTCCACGTCAGCAACTAGTCCCCAATGGGACCTTTTTGCCAACCCCAAGTGTTTTCAATGACTGATGTGGTTCGCTCAAGAGAGCTGGCTAACATCCTTTTCAGGCACCGCCCATCAGCTCTCTTTTCAGAGTTTTTCAGCTGTGTTTTGTAGGCTAGTAATGTACTCACTACCATATGCGCAGTGGCAGGCCTGCTAACTATCATCGTTAACCCCCGAGACCGAGGTCTACTTAAGCAGCTGGCCCGCTCTCACGCTCAGCTGGTAGTTTTCCGCACCCACCTACATACACGTAGGCTAGTAATGTACTCACTACCATATGCGCAGTGGCAGGCCTGCTAACTATCATCGTTAACCCCCGAGACCGAGGTCTACTTAAGCAGCTGGCCCGCTCTCACGCTCAGCTGGTAGTTTTCCACACCCACCTACATACACCGTCCTACTTCTTCTCTGATGCTCACAACCACATCGTCATATCTTTCTGCGTGTTCTGTGTAGGCTTTGTTACTAACTCCATGCGCCACTTTAGGAGCAGCACTGTTAATTGGAACGCAACAGCGAATCGTGCAGGACTATCCCCAGCCGATGCTCCGAAACTTTACAATATTTAATTCGTAAATAAAATATTGAAAAAAGTTCCTTGCCCGTGCTGGAAATCGAACCCACGACCTTGCGGTCGTGAGACGGACGCTCTTCCACTGCGCCAATCCCGGCCCCGGCCACCCCTCTAACTTCTGCTTTCGTCATCGTATTTTTCTGAAATTCGGTACAGTAGGGGAGACCGGGGCTAGTTGACTATAGGGGTTTGTAGACTAATTCCCTTTAACTCTTATGTTATACGATAGATGGTGCTCCTATTCACGACATCGGATTCAACGGGTATTCAGACCGCCATTGCAAGTGTTGTTCTGACAGTAAGTTGTGTACCGTGACAGTGAGAATTTAAAATCCAAAAACATCGGTGGTAAGTAAATATTTTTGTTTCATTAATTCATGAATTATTTCTCATCGAGTACTTCTTGAGACATTTCGATTATTATATTTGGAAAATGTGATACATTTACTCTTATTTGCGATATTTCATTTTATCCGGTGCAAGGAGATTTCGTACGTAGGCCATTTTCTTTTTTAAAATACACTACGGGGCTACTTGACTAAGTATAGGCGGGGTTATTAGACTATTAGTCTACTAACCCCTGATATTATTTCTGACACCTATACATTTCAGTATGCTGTGTTGAAGTGCTGATTTCTTATATTTGTTGCAGTTTTCAACATGAGGAAGTACAAGCGAAAAACTGAGAAAGGGAATATACCAGCTGATACTATTTTGAGGGCAGTCCGAATAGTTATCAATGAAGGTAGGAGCGTGAATAGTGTCGCTAAAGACTTTAGTATTCCACAAAAAACACTCGATCGCTATGTCAAGGAAGCAAAATTACCGGGTGGGGAGATAAAACTGGAGCGCGTTGGTTACTTCAACGGACGAATCATTTTTTCCCCAGAACAAGAGACTTTCTTAGCTGATTATTTGAAGCAAGCATCAGATATTTACTACGGGTTAACGCCGAAAGAACTTAGAAAATTTGCATATCAATATGCTATGTCTAACAGACTCCGAATTCCGACAAACTGGACCGAGAATAAAATGGCAGGACCAGATTGGTACACTTCTTTTATAAAAAGGAATCCCACTTTATCATTGAGATGTCCACAAGCTACAAGTTTATCGAGAGCTACTTCTTTTAATAAAACGAATGTAGCAATGTTCTTCTCCAATTTGAAGACTGTGTATGACCGACTGCATTTGGAAGCTCCTGATGTTTGGAATGTGGATGAAACGGGCATAACCACGGTCCAGAGACCGGACAAGATAGTGGCTCGACGTGGTTTCAAACAGATAGGCAAACTTGTGTCAGCCGAGAGAGGGACTCTGGTGACCCTAACTGTTGCAGTATCCGCAGGTGGAAATTCAATTCCTCCTTTTTTTATTTTTCCCCGTGTGCACTTTCGCGACCACTTCATCAGAGATGCACCAGCTGGAAGCTTGGGTGATGCCAATCCATCTGGATGGATGAAGGAAGACCATTTCATTAAATTTATCAAACATTTTGTGCATCATGCGAGATGTTCTAAGGATAGGCCTGTGCTTTTGTTGCTTGATAATCACGACTCCCACCTGTCAATAACAGCACTGAACATTTGTAAAGACAACGGAGTGACAGTTTTATCATTTCCTCCTCATTGTTCACACAAATTGCAACCGTTAGATAGAAGCGTTTATGGGCCACTGAAAAAGTATTGCAATTCTGCCATTGATAATTGGATGGTCAATAATCCTGGAAAGACATTTTCCATATATGACATTCCTGGAATCATTAAAATGACATTGCCCCTAGCTACTACACGCCAACCAATATAATGGCTGGCTTCCATAAAACTGGAATTTGTCCATTTAATGACAACATATTTTCTGATAGTGATTTTTCACCTTCATATGTAACAGATAGGCCTATTCCAATGAACGAAGAAGCGAACATGACAGTTGAAAACGAAGAAACACCAATAATCGAAGAAGCGAACATGACAGTTGAAAACGAAGAAACACCAATAATCGATAGAATTGTAGAAGGAACCAACGAACAGACAGAAGACCTACCTGTAAATTTAATGAGTCCTGAGCAGGTGAGACCATTCCCGAAAGCAGCTGCACGACAAGAAACTAGAAAAGCGAGAAAAAAAAGGAAAAGTGCTATTTTAACAGACACACCTATCAAAGAAGCATTAGAAGAAGAAGAAGAAAGGATTAAAGCAAAGAAACAACCAAGCAAGAAAAAAATGGTTAAGAAAAATACAGAGAGCAATACGAGAGACGGTCGAAAATTTTTATTTCGTGATAATAATCCCACACCATCAACATCAATCAAGAGAGCTTCTTCATCTTCAGAGTCTGAAGGAGATACAGAATGCTTACTATGCGATGAACCGTATAGTGATAGCATAAGAGGTGACAATTGGGTGCAGTGCACGCGTTGCAAAAGGTGG